GCAGCCCCAAGGAGAGAGGGATTGGGAAAGTTCCCACCTGGAAACAAGTCTCCCCAGCAAACCTTTGAGTTTGTTCAGTCAGCAGCTGCTGCGAAGCCCCTCCAACTAGGGTGCCAACAACCCCACAGTTACAGTGACACACAGCAAAGATGTACGTGGCAGCTGGGGACTGCAACCTCCAGCAGATTCACCATGTTGTGGAAAAAGACCAAATTTGTTTTGAAAAAGCCTTGGTGACTTATGTCTAACCTACATGAAAAATACATTGATGCAGTCTTAATTACTGCCTTGGTCTCTGTCCTCTTTAGTATTTATTGTCTTAAAATATGCTTTTTTTGGGTGTGCCCTTTTCTCCCTGTTTTGGTGATTATGGAATCCATGCAAACAAGACTGGAAGCCAATTACAAGGGAAACATTAAAACCGACTGTTTCCAAAGCTCTTAATTGCTGTACATTAATGGACAGAAGATCCCTTAGGGACATTACCTTTTGCTCTTTTGTTGCAATTCTTTTATTTCTAGCTGTTATTCTAACAGTAACAACAGGACAGATTTTCAGTTAAATTTAATAGCTTTCTTTCATACTGATTAATTCAGTTATTGCAGAATTTATTGATCCAAGAGATGATTGAATTTTATCTGGTGTTTTTGGTATGTTGTGCATTTCAGAACACCAAACAATTAAAACTGGTTTTGCTGTTATATGTTTTTGTTGCATTATCTATACATGGGAAGCATAGTTTACAATTTCAAAGGTTTGGTGAAGTAGTTCCATTTTATAACCCAAGTTAGTTGGCAGAATTAACAAGTTACTACTCCTGACTTGGAGAAGTAGACAAAGGCATTGGTTGGTTTTCAATCCATACCTGATAAAAGAAAATGTGTTTAAGTGGAAATAATTTCATATTGGACTCTGCCTCCAAAAAAGTACGAGAGTGATATAAATTAAGAGAATCTCATCTGAAATTCAGTGTACCTAAATTCAAGTAGTTGTGTTTTTCTGTATTCTTTGAATGTTCTTCAGAAGTTTGTAGTAAAATATTTTTGCATGTCAAGGATGAGTGAAGCTTAGCTATTAACCAACTATAGAGAATAAACAGGGAAAATAGGCAAGCTAACGAATGAGGAAGTGAATGGATTAAAATATTTCCATAAAACATTTTCACTGTTTGTACTTGTTAACTATTACTGTTAGCTATTGATAAGAGGCAGTTTTGATTATGTGTAATATGTCTATTTGGAATAAATGACATGCTAATTAAACATAGATCTTCCTGTGAGCCAGCTCAGGACTGATTCCACCTCCTCAACTATTGTTGCCTTTATTGGACTATCTCCTGATTTATATCCTAGTGTATAAGGAAGGAAGTTGCTTCTCTTGCTCATTTAAAATATTAGGTCCACGTATTTTTCTTAGAATCTACAGCCTCACTCAAAACCTAATGATGTCCTCCAAAGAGGTTCCCATTTATCTCAGCTGATGTGGATTCAAGACATTAAGGAATTGCCTTTGTCCTTTCACTGTCTGAAATTTTCAGGCTTTGGGTCATTGGTACAGGAAACCTAGACTGAGTGCTCCTCTTGCACTGTAGGTATATGATGCCAAATGCTGATGTGGGACGTAGTCATTCTGTCAGTTCACATTTATTCAGTGCTTTTGAACACACTTTCTGATAGCTTGCCTTTTAGCAGCAGGCTCATGCCAGGTCAGATGTCCATGTTGCACCCATTTAACTTTATGCTAGATCAGATGTGGTCTGTACGCATGCAGCTATCTCAAAGTCAGCATAAGTTTCCTATCTTGTGCTCTGACTTAGCTCAACAGACTTGTGGTTGCATGCTCACGCCTGATTCAGATCAAGTTAATACTGTTCAGTGACCTGCTGGGCACAGATGAGGTATTAATGATGGTCTTCTGGCACATTTACACCTGTATGAAACAGTGGATAAAATCTTATGACTTTGCTTTTCGTAGCAGTAGTCTTTCACTTTGCAACCTCTTTCAATGGTGGGAGCTGATGATAGATTATTTCTGATAATCTGTCTCCCTTCACCCACAGCCTTTTAAGGGGAAGAATTGTCATTTTTCCCATAACAGCAAATGTTTATCAATGATTATAAAGAACAAAACCTTTTCCTTCCACTTCTGTATCAGAGAAATGCCCAGGCAAATATTTATCAGGACAAGAGTCTTGCATTACTTTTGTCTGTCATCCCAGTAATACAATCTCTCCAAAGTACTCCTTTTCTCATTTTTTCCTTTCAGTGACCAGTGATTAGACCATCTTTGGCCTTCGTCCTTATCCTTACACAACAAATTCTCTTAGCTGTTCTCAGCATCACTGAGATGCTGTTTATGCACAGATAATAAGAGCAGACCCTATAACTGAAAGGGAAACCAGGATACATTAAGGGTGCAATATTGTGTATTTAACTGGTTTGACACTACTCCCTTTTCTGCTTTTGCTTTTGGGATTATTTTTTTTTCTGACATACAAGTTCCAAGCAGCTCAGGTTTAATCATGTATAAATAGCAATTTCACAGTATGGTTGCAGATTGTTATGTGAACTGACGTATGGCCTGTCCCTAAATGAAAATCTTACAAGTGCACAGCCCTTGATTTCCTGAATATGATAAAATAGATGTTATTGTTACCTCTGAAATCTGTTGAAAGTGGCTTATGAGTAAAGGGCATTATGGTGTCATCCCAGGAAGTATCAGTATATATTTGGTACATGTTTGTGGTAGAGCTGCTTTTCTCAATGCTAAATATTAGGTTTACATCTTATTAAGTAGTCAGTATATACAGGGTCTACAAGCCTTGCAACTATGTTTCAGTGTCAAAACCAGTTGGATTTCATATGTTATTACAGCATGCTTCCCTGTCTTTTATATCCTTTGGTGAACAAAGCCTTTAGTTTTACATACTAAAGACGTTTTTCTAAAAAATAGCTGACTGAACATACGTAATATACACATACATACAGACATATGATGTAGTATTATGTATTTTATACAATGTGAATGCGTCATGTAAATTTTTAACTTCACCCCAACCAGCCTTTTGCTAAGAGGAGTAGCATTCATATTCTTACCAAGGCAACTTACACTTTTTGCCTAATTTTTGCTGGCTGGTTCCATTTTAGCACTCTGCAACATAAAAGCAACTGCTGACTAGCACAGTGATTCAGGTTTAGTAAGTTAAAAAAACAAACTGCTTCACAGGAAAGAAAATAAAATGCCTTCTCTTATTCTTTTGATTTAATTGGACACCTTTAGTGAGAGCAGACAGTAATCCTACAAAGCTTAAAAGCTGTTTTTCTGGTATCCACAATGGAGTTGAGTGCAGTACAAGGAATTCTTACATGTTTATCCTCAGAAATTTCCAGTCCTTCTAGCTAAATTTCAGGATGGGTTATTAAAAGTTTTCTTCTTTCCTTACCCTTGAGTTTTCAGCCAGATGCTGTGTTTCACTTATGTTTCAAAGTAGTAGCAATGAGTAAGTTGCTTTTCTTAAAGGGCTGCCATATTTCAGCCTAAGGAGTACACTTTGGTGGTGGATCATGCAATCAACTTGTAACATCTGTATATGAATTTACAAACCACTTAGGATTGCAGTGGACTGAGAATCATGTATGTCTTTCTCACATATATGTGAGTTATTACTAATTAGTCAAAGAGAAGAATAATTTGAAAAGAAGGCACAGACCTCTGGAAGAGGAATAAACATATCTATATTATCTCTTTTTTTTTTTTTAATAAAAGCTATAATTTGAAATTTCTAGTGTGAATTGCAAATTTTTAAGATAATCCTGTTTGATCTGGAGGAGAATGAAGGATTTGGATTTTCTTCCTATGATTATGAGGGCCATAAATACCTTAATGTACTTCTTTGTGAAGTTCGCAACCCATTTGAACATCCTCGAGTAAAACTAGTATGTGAGTTGTACAACCAAATCAGAAGTAGGTTTAATTTAGAAAATGGATTAAATTGAAGTGCTTTTCACTATTTGTCCTGATGTTGCTATCCTGCTTTGGAGAGTAGTCTGAACACAGGGAAGCAGCTAGAAATGTGAATCATGTAATTATTAATTTCCAGGTGTGATGAGAATTTGCTAGATATCCAACAACTTCCATATTATGGCCTACATTTTAACTTTTTCATATTGATGTGTTTTAATGAAGGGAATCTTGTAAACCACCATCTGTGACCTAAATCAGAATATGAAGTACACAGAATTTTGCAGATATGTCCCATTTGCCAGCTACCTCTGTAATCATCTCTTGCTAGTGTGTAATAGCCATCAGTCTGAGTCATGGCAACAGTGACTGAGAGCAGATTGTGGCCTTTTAAAGAAAGTCCAGAATGCTTCTCTGCTTGATCCAGCTCAGATTCCTTTCCCCAGACCTCTGAGGAATGCTGGGTTCCAGCTGTAACTCCCTCCTGCCAGGGAAACTATGCAGCCTGTGCATTTTGCCACACCAGACCTACTGCAGGGGTTGCAATTTGTATGCGTGCTTGCAGTCCCCTTGCTTTTTGCATGGCTAGTGGTAGGAGTGATGGAAGGGCTTGCAATGGCTTGGAGCTGTGGGATTTGGTAGGATTCAAGGCACAGTGGTGTTCCTGCAGCCTCCTTGGGTTCTCTCTTCCCACCTTCAGAGGAAGGTGTGCTTATGGCTTGTCTGTCCTTCAGCTGACAGCTGCACTCTGTACTCTTCCAGTGGTGGTGTTTTTTCTGATATTTATCCATGATGCCTGGTCTTTAGTTTATGTACTTCAGCACACTTTTTAAACGTGCATAGTTTATTAATTCTCCTTTAGCACATTGCTTTTTGGGTTTGGAGAAGTTTGCAAAATCCTTGTATTGGTCCCCTGTTTTGTCCTCATCAGAAGATACTCGGTTCCAGTCAGCTTTCCTACTTTGCAAAGGGATGTGAGTACTGTGGCCTCATCATGGGTTCATGGGAGATGAATACTAACTTGCCTTGTTTATTTTTAGGAGGTCTTGGTTATGGACCCCAGTGCAAGTCTGTTGGAAAAGGCAGCTGCAACAATGTCATATTCACCAGCCATCCCATGACGGTTCAACAGTTGGGACCTGTTTCACCTCCTGCTAATCAGGTTTCAATAGCATGCAACCAGATCAGCCCCGTCTTGCAGAGGTCTATGGATGCTTCCAGCCTGAGCGCTTCTCCATCAGATACAAGGTCCTGAGTTACTTTTTGATATTCAGTACTTTAACAAGAGGATATTTTAATTCTCCTGTAATTTAAATGCAACTTTTCTGATGGTTAAAATGGCCTAAATGATGCTTTGTTATGCCACAGGAAATTTAATTCAACACAATTTAATTCGCATCAGCTGTAATCATACTGTTTGGATCATTCAAATCATGGGTGAAATTTGGCCACACATTTTCTATGTTTGATAGGGCTTTTTTGTTAGATAAAAATTTTTATAGTCACTTAACTATAGTTTTGTACTAAGGACAGGAAGTGTTACGGAGGATGAAAGCAGAAATAGTCCACGTTACATCTTCAGGGGCAGTGACCTGTTTTAAGCTTACCATAGTGCTAAGAGTGTTACGTTGGTGCCTGTCAAGTAACACTAATGTCAGACAAAATAAACTTAAATGCTCTGCTAAAGTTCCTCTCTCCTCATCAAATATCTTTGCTTTCAAATTGTTTACATAATTAAGTTAATCAGATTGATTGTTCCCAGTCTGCACTGAGCCAGCAGTTAACTTTATCTGTGTTAGACTTGCGTCCCTGAAAACTTGTCCATTTTCCTAGGTCTGGTGGGTAGTTTAATAAAATCTATGACCTCTCCCTGCAAATGTTGCCTTTTTATATCACTAAAGCACAGATAAATATTTGTTAATTAATTTTTAAATGCTTAAATAACTTTTGAGATTATGGCTATGAGTATTGTCAACAAACATGAACAAAGTGAAAACAGTTGTTTGACAACGTCCATACAAATACATTAAGCACATCCCTGGATATTAGTTAAACATATAGTGAGAAAACATTCTGGTGCGTTACTTCAGAAGCTACATTCCCACTTCTGTAGATGTGACTCGTGCAGTAGTTGCCTGCTGAGTTGAAATGTAACTGTTCTTATATACAAAAGGCCATAAGAGTCTTTATTCTCAAAACAGTTTACATTTTACTATATCACTTTATTACAAGCCAAGGAACGTTCTTGAAATAATTATAATTGGTATTATGTAACTGGAAGAAAACCTTGCTCTACTCTAGTAGAAGATAATTTGTGACATTTCTGTTACTTCAGTTGTGAAGACTGAGTCCCCCAGGACAATTTACAAAATTAATTATGCTTCCTATGTAAACATGTCAGGGAAAACCATTCACTGATGAGATGATGACAAATGACAAATCCAGAGACATGCCTTTGAGACAAAACAAAACTGATTGTATAAAAACATCATAAAGTAATTTTTACGTACTTAATAAGTTTTAGGTGTGCCTGTATGGTTCCAAACACTGTTGTTTTTATCTGAATGTGTGGTTGGGTGTACCATGTCAGTACTGAGTTATACATTTTTGGTTTTATTTTAAAGAAACATTTACTAAGGGTGAACTGAAGTTGAAACTCTGGCAGAATTAGGCTGTAATGTCCCTAGAGTCTCTTTTAATGATTTATCAATGAAGATGTTATAAAATCAGTTTATAACACAAAGAATGTCCATTTCAGCAATTTTGCCCTCAAATTGACTATTTAATAGGGCAAAACAAGTTTTAAGTCAGATTTTAATTCACAGATTGTTGAAACACTTTTTTTTTTTTCAATTGCTTCAGCAATAAACTGCATATGCCTAAATTGGTTGCCTAGGCTGACTCCATAATCCTTTATGGGCTGAGTGCCTTCTCTGGATTGTTTCTCTCAGGCATCATGATCTGTGCTCTGGCAGCTCAGTCCAAACCAGATTATTTGCTGAATTTACCCAAACCAGACTTGTCCTGACTTTTACTAATGGAAGAAAGAAAGAAGTTGGCAAAATAGGAGTTTTGCTCAGATAACATCAGATTTTGGTATATAGACCATGAGGGGTAAAACCTTCCCCATCTTTTTTAAGAGTTCCCAAAAACTTTTTCGGAGTATTCAGTTATGCTGCTTGAAACCAGATGTAATACTGCCATTTACTTTGATGCAAGTCAGCAAAGGACCTAGGAAAGAGCAAAGGGTTCTTGGCTAGTAAAACAGAAGACCATGCAAAAAGATGAGAAAACATAGTTTTCACTCTTCCATGTTTTGCTTTAAGATTCTGGGTTATACTTGACACTGTAGCCTCTGTACACAGAGGGAGAAAAGCAAGTAATTGCAGGAATCTCTTGTAAATGTTCATAAAAGATCTGGTCCAAACTCAAGCTGGTTTAGATTACAGTAAGCAGATGTGCCGATTAATACCATCTGAGGATCTGGCACAGTGGTATAGCTGGCCCTTCATTTTCATATTAGGTATATTTATTTTCCCCCAGAAAACTACTTAGTCACAATGGGGGCTGGGTTTTAAAGAATTTTTGTTGCTGTTTTGGGAGCTGGAATCTTTGTTACTTTTGAATTTAGAGGCTTAAGTGAGAACCAAACTTCTTCAGATTATCTGGCTCTTACTTATTGTATACTTGAAATTCTGGGCCAACTTTTTATTTTTGTCCTGTTACGAGACTTTTAAAATGCAGTTTTTCTTCAGCTTCACTGATGAGTATGTCCCTTTGTGTTAGGCATTAATAGCTTTTTGAATGACACTGGTCCTACTATGCATCTGATTAAAATTCCTGACATTACAAAAATAGACTTGTTATATTGATGCATGGGGGTTTTTTCCCTACTTATAAAAGAGAAAATGAAATTTTAAATAATCAAACTGGTAAAAAGAACCCTATTTATATTTTCCAGATATACATACATATAGCCTGGCATGGAAAAATCAAACCTTACTTACTCTTCTTGCTCTGTTGAAGATTGTATTTGGAATTACAGCATACTAACATGATTTAACTGCCCAATAATGAACTATGCTTTAAGAAAGCTCACTGATAACAGACCCAACAGCCTGAATCAATTTTTTTCAGAAATAATTGTCCCTTTAGATCTAAATCTTACACAAGATTGACCTGATATAGCAATCCCATTTTTCTTATTTCTCTCAGTGCAAATTGTAGTCAGCGTGTTAATTGTGCATTTCTTCAGTGCTGTGTTTTCAAGGTCCCATTTAAACCCCAATGGGGTAACATCACCTCCATAACAGTACCCTATACTGACATTCAATCTGAACAGGATGTTTCTTGTTCTGATACAGCAAATCAGCCATCCATTACAAAGCAAGTATCATCTTGAACAAAAGACCATTTACCCATCTATCCCATAGGTCACCACAGCAAGGCTGGGTGATATTTAAAGCTATGTTTTTGCTGTTTGTGAGCTATCTCAGTGCGCAGACATAGCACCTGCAGACGTCTCTCCCTAAGCCTGTGCCAAACTTCCCCTCTAGACAAAAAAATGCTGAGGAGACAGCCACAGTGCCCTGAGCACCAGTTCCTCTCCTCCAGCTCTTCAGCAATGACTGGGCTGTGTTCCTGCAGCACGATTCAGCCCTTAAACTAAAGTCACTGCAAACCGACTTTTCTTACTTCACGTTGGTTGACTCTCAAGTGCTTGAAGATGCTGTAATATTAACAAGTAGGAAAAAATCCTCATCACTGAGGGAGTGCTCATGTGGTGGGCAGAATAAGATAACAAAGACACACTGATTTTGCAGCTTTAATCTCTGTGGCTAGAACTTAGTGTGGAAAGCTATATACATTTCTCTCGCCTGAATGACTTAGTGTTTTCATATATTCTTTCAACGTCACTGATCTAACTGAAAGATAATCCATAGATCTCAGAGGTGAAAAGTTGATTTGCCAAGCAAAATCATGGAAATTTGGTAAATATTGCCATATTAACTGGAAATATCTGCAGAGCCATTTTTAGGATCTGTTCTCGCCCTCTTGGGTTGACTGATGTTGTTTTAAATAGGATTCAGATCCCCAGTTTTAGCCTACCACCATTTCTTAAATTAAGTAGTTTCATATATCTCCACTGAAGCTGCAGTCTCTGCAGCAGGGCTGTGGTGCAGACATATGATGCAACTATGAGCCTTAACAGATCTGTCCCATGGATCCATGTTTCCTGTAGCAGTGTCTATAAGAAAATCTTGCAGAACTCAGAAGCAACTGCAGTATTGCTTTCCCTGAGTAGACATCAAAATTTGCTTCCCTATTAAAAACAAAAAAACAAGTAAAATAGGTGGAAGTGCCTCCTTGAAGGTGCTTGCTATAACTGTGTCTGTATCAAGAAAGAGATGAGATTTGTTTTTATTAGTTTTCTTTATGATGCATACTTTCTCTTTTACATTTTTTAAGTTTGTAGCAACATAAATCCACTTGGCCTTTACCCAGCATTTGCAGCCATGAATCAGGGACCCTGATGTCCCTGTATTTCCTTTTTATACCCTTCTGTAGAAAACAATATTGTTAAGAGCTTATGAGTTCTTTTTTTAAGCTACCCGTAGGACATTTGCAGCGTAAACACGTTTCATAATATTTCTGTGAAAAAACAATGAAAACAGCAAGATTACACTTTCATCAAAAATTTTGATTGCTGACTTGGAGGCAGCTACATCATCAAATCAAAACTAAATAAACCCCTTCAACCAGTTCTTCTACATTATTCATTTATTTTGTTTGTTTTGTAAAGTTAGATATTATCTGTATTTATAAACTTGAGCTATTTCTGTAGAGAATACTATTTGTATGCATTACAATTAGCAAAGTCATTCAGGTTAAATATTTATTCTTTATTAATCAGTTTTCTTTCTGTTCTTTGCCAGCAAAAATAATAGTGAACTGAAATCAATATGAGTTTCATACAAGGCAGGAGCATAGTGCTTCGGCTTCAGAAGCCCACATGTATTTACACCAGTTGATGAAAAAATTTGCATTGTTTTCTGCAGTGAAGTATTATGAACCTTTGCTGCAACTTTTCTTCAAAATCTTGGCGTTTTAAAGTTGGTTTCCTAAGTGACCTTGTTACGTATGTATTGCCTGTATATGCCTGCTGGTACATTAATTGAGAATGCTAAAGTTGAGTACCCAAAATTAGGGCAAACTTTCTCACCTGTAGCCTTTCTTTAATCTTACGTGTGTGTGAAGATAGAAGAACCACTGCTGCATTGTCTAACTGCTTAATTACTTTATTGTGCCTTTATTCCAGGTCGCTCTTGTCACGTGAGTCTCTGGCCTCTACAACGTTAAGCTTGTCAGAAAGTCAGTCCACTTTGAGTGTTAAGCAAGAGTGGTCACATGCGTACAGGACACTTCCTTCTGTTCCTCCTGACGAAGGTTTACAAAATGGCAGTGAGCTGGGGGACTTACTAAATTTTTCACCTGGAACATCTGCGTCCAGTAACTGCATCTCTAACTCGTTACCGTCCTACTTATATGGTGTGGAAAATAAGCATTCTCCTTACTCTAGTCCTTGCCATTCCTCAGCCCGGTCTCAATCAGCCCACTCCAAAAAGAGAGCACTCTCTCTGTCTCCTCTGTCGGATGGCATTGGGATCGACTTCAATACAATCATCTGTACGTCCCCCACCTCTCTGATGGCCTACATCAACAGCTCTAGGACATCACCAGCGAACGTCTCCCCACAGCCTGAGGTCTATGGACATTTTCTGGGAGTGAGAGGAGGCTGTATACCCGCAAATTGCTCTATTCCAACTGCCCAGAAAGGCCTTCTCATGGCTAATGGCAACGTCACCTTCCCAGGCTATGTTGAGAACGGAGCTGGCGACTACCAGCGGATGCAGCAGCTGGAGCAAGCCAGCTTGCAGATGGCTGCCACAAGTAACATGTTGATCCACCAGGGTGTGCCACCCATGGACAACCAGGTGGTGGGCGTCCTGAAAAATGGACGGCTGGATGACTTCTCAGGCCGTACAGTGGACATGCCTCCTCCACCCCTGCTGCCCCCGCTTCCTCCACAAGGACCACCCCCACCATACCATGCTCACCAGCACCGGCTCCCGCACAGCCTCCCCAGTCGCATTCACCCACTGCCCATGCCTCCTTCTGCCCCAGGCTCCCTGCTTGACGAAGACGGTGAGCTAGACGATTTCCATGGCAAGCATGGCTGTTGCTGGGTTGACTGCGGTGCACTGTATGACCAGCAAGAGGAACTTGTGCGGCACATAGAGAAGATCCATATAGACCAGAGGAAGGGAGAGGACTTCACTTGCTTCTGGGCAGGGTGCCCACGAAGGCACAAGCCGTTTAATGCCCGTTATAAACTGCTGATTCACATGAGAGTCCACTCAGGAGAGAAGCCAAACAAATGCACAGTAAGTCTGAATTCTGTCTCTCTCACCAGTAAAAGGCTCTATATTACTCATGAAAATAGAGAGAAGTTGTAATTCTGCCTTTGTTTTTCCTAGTTAATGGTGCGCTTTTTTAACTAGTCTGTGTGAATGAATGACTGCTGCATCTTTCCACCTAGATAGAAAGCAAAGCTATTCTTTAATTTGATATGTACCGACAGATAGAATTAGACAAAATTTTATTTTCTAAATTTATAAACTTCTACTGTAGACTGCAAAAGTGACACGGTAGACTGTCATAAAGCAAAACTTAAGTACCATCCTGCATGAAGGATACGTGCAGGAAAAGTGCTGCTAAATAAATGGCACAATTTATCCTGAAATATTGTTGCATAGTGTTACTCCTTTTTGACTTGAGGAGTTTTCAGGATCTTCCATAATGTTACCATGAGAAACTAAGAAGAGTTGGGTATTTTTTAAAGCAGTTGTTTGTTTTATTACTAACAAAAAACAGACCCACAGCCCTGTTTCCATGAATACAGTAGGAGTAAAACACATAACAGTTTCTCTGTTTCTAGCTGTGAGCGTTCAGCCCCCAAAGTCATGTTTTTCTTGCTGTTTTTCTTAGGGTCACTGCAAGTCAGTTTCACACATATGTAATCACATGGGGTAGCAATCTAGCCAGTAAACCCTAGAATCAGTTTATGTTTAGACTCCAGTGAACCATCTATAATCTCTGTAATTCAGATTCTTGATTGGCCTTACATATAGTCTGTATTTTGGATGATGATTAGCTTACCCTTATTAAGTGCGTTTTGAGTATCAGCAGGAAGCAGCCTCACCACTGCTGTTTCCAGTGCTCAGCATAACCTAACAAAACAATGAATATATAATTTCTAGGAATAACTGCTGATTATTATTCACTTGAAAAACAACATATTTGTTTATATGTTGTGAAATATAAATTGGTGGTAGGAGTCTGTTTCAGTGTATGCCTAGTTGAATAATTTTCTTAATATGATGCAGATGTTTGTTTGTTCGGTAGACAGAGGAAAATTTTTTGTTTCACTTTTGCTACTTCAAAGGGCCAATCTCCTTCAGGGAGAGCAGATATGTTCCCAGATTTCTCTCTTGAATTTAAAGGACCTGGTAGAGATTGTGTCACAATGCTAGGAAGACTCTTTATCCTTCCCTTTTGTCACACCAGAGCCTGAACTCAGGCTCTCTGCTGAGTATTTTATTTTTTTTTAATTTCATAATATTCTCTTTTCTGCTCTCCAGATATATTACCATTAATTTCAGTTCCTCCTCAGGGATTTCTCATCAGCTTTGTGGGGGGAGAGAGAAGGAGAAAAAAGAACCATTAGGAGTCAAGAAAGTAATTTTTCAAGGGAATAGTACATGGAAAAAAAGAGATGGAGACAGACATCAGCAGAAGAGTGAGAACAGACGACTATATGAAGAAAGAGGGCAGGAATGGTGAAAGAGCACTGGAAAAAAAATAATGCGAGTACCCAGGGTCCTTCTAGTAGGAGAGTTACAATGAGGGATCCAGTAAGATTGGGGAAAACATTGTGTTAGTAGCACTCTGTACTCCCTGGCCTGCTTGTTTAGAAAGGGTGCTTACAGTGACCTTCTCATGAGTATGAGGCCTCCTTGAGGAGTCCTTAGCTTTGAAGGAATCATTATTCACTGATGATAAATATGTTAATGTTTAAATGGATAAGGTACTTAATTTGATAACGTTTTTGAGATTATTAAACCTAAACTAAAGCGTGTGTCAGGTCATGCTGTGTCACAAAAAAAATGAGAGGCATCTATATGAGCTTCTCAAAGAGTGATTGCTTTCATAAACATTAAAAAGTGTGATTAATTTTGCTGGACTTCAGCAAGTGTTGCTGGATAGAGCCAAGTGCCATGAAGTTTGCATATCAGAAGCAGCAGCCACATGCTTATCATGCTTTCATGTGTAGAAGTCTAATGAATTGCAAAAATACTCAGGGTGACATGATAACCCCTATACCGTCAGTGTAAATCTGGAACATAGGCCCCCTTTCTTGGGACAAGCATGCAGAAATGGCATCCTTTAGCAGGGTTTGAGTGAAACAGCTTGCTGCTTTCTTCCTTTACCATTTCACAAATGGTGTGAATTTGGAAAAACGTATTTGGCTTTCTAATGTCAGGGGGCCATGGTCTGGAAGTCTCTCAGTATATTTAGGAAACGGTACTTCAGCCAGAATTCATACCTTTCTCACCACGCAGTGAAATTTACAATCATATCAATACAATTTCAGGTTTTAAACTGAGATTTTAAGTGAGGTATTAGGGAGAACACTTTGGGCAAGATAATAATCAAGTATTATTCCTGTAATTAACAAAAAATTATGGAAAAGAAATCTGAAACTTTTCAGCAAACCTGTATGAATTTATGCATCTAAGTGATAAATCAAAACAATCCCTTCATGATCTTTATTTGTCCACCTAGGGTCTTTCTATAATTTATTTTCTGGTTTTACATGTAGGATGCCTCTTCCTCTAAAATCTTTATAAAGTAAAGGTCTTATGTCCACTGCAGTTTGCACACTAGTAAGAGGCAGTCTAGTAGACCAAACAGGGAAGGAAGAATGCCACATACACATCTATTATGTGAACCAACCAGATTTACTACAGAGAACATAGCAGAAGTAATAGAAGTAACATATTAAAACATCCTATAATCAAAGACAGCCAGTTACACTAGTCACCTTAGTGACATCATACACTAGTCATTGTGTGAGCATTTTATGTGTTGATGGTTCCTAACATTTTGCAAGAGACAATCTTCTCATTAAGCATATATTGCAATGGGTGCTAGTTGGTATATTTATCATGCAGTACTTGTTTCTGTGCAGCTGAGTGTTGAAAGTGTATTCTTATATACTGTGTTGTGTATCCCAATGGATTGCTGTGAGAGTTCAGCAAGCTTTACAAGGTTTTAGTAATACAAGGTCAGGGTTACTTCTAAGTTGCATTATTGTAACACTAATAGAGATAATGCGGAATCAGATGCACAGCTAATCATAAGCTGAACTTGATAAAATAATCTTAATATTCTCTGTTATTGCTCTGTGATGATGAAATCATATATTTGAGAAGAGACTTGAAGGACAGCTAGGACTGCAGTACTGGATGTGCTTATAGTTAGAGCAAAATAGAGTATTCCTTTGACCTCAGCATTTGTTTTGCCACATAGGGACTAGTTTCTGTTTATCTATGTAACAAAAATTTGAAGTGATAAACTGTAGCTACAAACGATACTCTAGTCATTAGTTCCTTCTTGTTCTGGATGAGCAGTCTTCTTTGATTCTGGAAGATAAAGTGTTGTAGGGTGAGTATTAATAAGATAGCAGCACATAAAAACATGTGATGATCATGATAAGCAGATCCAAACTTAAGTCAAGCATTCTTAAGGTCAAAAACTCAGAACATACTTGTCGCTCTGTACAAAGGTAAGTAGGGTGGAGTGGAAAATAATTGCATACTGATTGTGATAATTTGTTTTGTATTGTTGTTTTTCTGTGAATCAGGCTCTTTTTTTCCAGCGTTATGTGAATTTGCTGCCGAAGCTGCATGTTCAGATTAGGTGTTGGCAATTTGATCCAATATACTTTCTCTGTGTACTGAAAAATCATGGTGTTATTTTTCACTCCTGCACATTTTTAGAAGATTTGTTCTTATTCTAAAAAATGCACTTTTATGTTAAAAAGTATTAATTTCATGGAGTCCTGCATTTTTTTTTATATTGGAAGCCAAAGTAGGTGAGTATGCTTGGCCTTGCTTTATTACACAGAAATTTGTGAAGTTGAAGAGTACCTGCATGCAAGAGGACTCACCTGAAGTTGACTTGTTTGGAATAGGAATTCATTAAATAGCTATTAAAATGTATTGGGCTCCCTTACAGTTCATTAAAACATCTTTCAGGTTCTATTCCAACTTACAGCATCTGGAATGCATTCTTCTTTTCAATGACCTGGTTTAAAGACTAAAAAAATTATTCATGACACGTTAATATACATTTAGTGTCTATTCCTAAACTTCTTTATATGAAGTAGGTATAGCAGGTTCAAATGTGTTGTATTTATTTATTAATCTATGCATTAGCTTGTACTTTGTAGGAATAAGTTAAAGAAGAAAAAGGTGAATGAAAAATTTATGTTGAAATGCAAGCAGTTAGTATGCCAGTAGTTAAGATAAAATCTGTAACGTTTGCCAGCAGTTACCACACAATGATATCTAAGGTTCCCTTAGATTTCTTCTGGATCAGAAGAAAAGAGGATTCCCAGTGGCTGTGGAAACTCCACAGCAGCAGTTGGCAAATGCTGATCTTTTGCTCTCTTTGGCTGTACCTGTGAGCTTATTTATTTTCTACTCAGTGTTCGTTCCTTCTTTTGTAGTAAGTATTTTTGTACTTTTCAAGTTCAGCTGCAATAAAAGGTACTTAATTAGCCTTATTGTCATGCTATGCAAACAATAAACTTAATATATTTATTCTGGTGTAAATAGCAACAGCACATTGTTAGAGATCTATTTCAGGCTCTCTGTTTGCAGTTTCGTTCAGGTACACTAAGAATGCTTCCCCTTTTGAAACTGAATTCAATCTTTTTGCTTTCCGTAAGTTCTGAGCTATGCTTCAGCACAATGCCATCACTATTTTAAAGTATGGGATAATAATACATATACTGCACTTTTTATCACAGCTGCTTGATGTGATTTAAACCGATAAAATTGCTAGTATTCCTGTCAGATTTGAAGCAACATCCATTTCACATCTGCTAAATATCTGAAATTATCCCACAGCGCATCAGTCTACTAAGCACATAAAACAGAAGGTATGGTTAAAAAAAAAAGACCATAAAACTTAAAATGCTTATATAATGCTTCTTTGAGACATGAGTAAACATCTTTAGGTGAGCATGAGTATTTAGATAGATGTGTGTGTGCTATTTGAAGCACATGTGCTTGGAAGATTGTGTTCAAGATGAAAC